CAAGCTTGACCGCCTCTAAGAAATGCTGCCAGCAAGGAGCAGACCAGTGAGTCCTCCTTGGCCTGCAAGTATGCAGAGCCCTGGGAGGGTGAGAGCACAGGCTGAGGGAATGGGGTAAGGTCAGTCATTATGACAATGGTCACGACTTCTGAAGCAAGTCTTTAACAGTCAGCAAGAGGCGAGACCTCTCACCAACGAATTCAGGGCTCTGAATGATGTCCCTGAGAAGAGCCCAATAATTAAGTTAACTTCAGGAACATTTATTTTTGGGGGATTTAACTCATACATCTTACCTAAATCTCTCCCAACCTTTTCCCAGGTCTGGGGAGCTATGTCTGGTCCCATTAAAATCAAACATAGACAAGCTTTATTAATAAAACAGAAAAAAATGGACTAAATCTTTCTTTTTAACTCATTTCTTTTTATCTTCTTTTTAATTCTTACTCCTTTTTATCTTTCTTTTTAACTCTTATTCCTCTCTCCCTTAGACTACTCTTTACTTCTCTGATAAAGAGGGCCTCCTTAGAGGTTGTTTTGCCCATGACTATAATGGGACAGCAGTACTTACCTCGAGACGGACTGGTGCACGAGTGATGCAGGGCGTCTCCACTTTGGGTCGACTAGTCTCTTCTTCTCCTGGTGCTGTCCAGCGACCACTGTACTTCGAGCCTCACATTTGGCGCCATTTGACTGGTCCAGCAGGCCAGGTTATTTGCGGGTCTCAAGGGGGTTGTCACCTAAGGGGGGTCAATGGGGGCGAGAGAGAAAGGAGACCAAGCAGCGCAAGAAAGGACAAGAGTCCGTCTGTGCAATGTCAAGGTCTCGATTTATTGGGGCTTAGAGTGGGCTTAAATAGCCCTGCAACAACAGAATTGGGGGGGAATAATAGAAGGAACATCAGGTATTTGCTGGGACTGGAACATTCTTCTTGTCAGCCAGAACATCTAGTGGTCTTCCTTGGAACAGCGAACAGAAAAGCTCCAGACCCTTTCTCGGAACAGAAGCAGTTAGCAGTTCCGCTTGGCCAAACCGTATCTAATTACCGGTTACAGGAGGCTCACAGAGCTGGCTTTAAGATGCTAAATTAAAGGTCATTAAAAGTCTTACAAAGGTGGGCTTTAAGCTGCATTGTTTTGGGCCCACAGCCCCTTACATAAGATCTTTGTTTCTGTGGGGTTATACATTACTGGGTTAGTAAATTGAGGGACTTTACTTCCCCTTGTCCCACCATGAAATATATCCTTAAATTTTCTTCTTCTGGGAACAAGGAAGAGTACCTATATACAGAATGCCTGAAAATATATTCTGTGTAAACATACTGCAGAAAATAGTTGCATACATTGGGCTAATATGTGTAATTCTTTGTCTTCTATCTATAACACACCACACCAACAAAGAAATAAAGAGGTAAACAAACAAATAAATAAATCCCAAACTACTGTCAGTGTAAAAACAACAAAAAGCCTTATACAACATATATGGCAGTACCATGTTGTTTTTCTTACAGTGATGCTGCAGTATAATTTGAAAACAGATATGTTGATATCGCCTGTAGTATTGCTCTTGTTCAGAGATGATTGTCCTTTATCTTGTATCCCTTCAAATAAACAGTAAGAGTATTTTCTATATCTGTAGTATTTTTGTAAGATGATCATTTTCACAATATTATTTCTTCTAATTGGTGATTATAATACATCTTGGCTATCTACTATCTTCCTTAATTTCTTTCTTCAATGTATGAAAATTTTCATAGTAGAGGTCTTTCATTATGATGATTAGGCTTATACCCAGAAATTTAATTTTTATGTTGTTGTGAGGGATTGGGTTGTTTTCACAATTTCTTTTTCAGCTCTGTAAATGTTAAATAGAAACTCCACTAATTATTGCATGTTAGTTTTCTACCCTGCCACCTACCTGAGAGTATTTATAAGGTGTAAAAGTAATTAGGTAGCATCTTTAAAATTTCTTAAGAATATCATCAGATAATCTGTAAAAACTGATACTTTGGTTACTTCTGTTACCATTTATGTTTTATTTCTTTTTCTTCTTATGTTCACTTGCTAAGGTATAAATGCATATGCGAAAGAGGTGGAGACATTCATACAAGGACATCTGTTCAAATATGTTCATAGCAGCATTATTTGTAATAGCCAGAACCTGGAAGCAACATAGGTGCCCCTCACCTGAAGAATGGATTGAGAAAATGTGGTACATTTACACGATGGAGTACTACTCACTAGAAAAACAAACAGTGGAATATTGAAATTCACAGGCAAATGGATGGAACTAGAAAAAACCATCCTAAAGTGAGGTAACCCAATCACAAAAAGACAAACATGGTAGGTACTCACTCATATGTGGATTTTAGACATAGAAAAAAAGGAGTACCAGTCTACAATCCATACCTCCAGAGAAGCTAGGAAACAAGAAGTACCCAAAGAGAGACATACATGGTCCCCCAGAGAAAGGGAAGGGAACAAGATCTCCTGACCAAATTGGGAACATCAGGGAATGGGAGAGGGAGTTAGGAGAAAGAGAAGGTGAGAAGGGGGGAGAGGAAAACATGAGGAAGCAGGAAGGTTGAGTCAGGGGAAGACCAGAGGAGAGCAAGAAAAGAGATACCATAATAAAGGGAGCCATTATAGATTTAAAGATAAATCTGGCACTAGGGAAATGTCCAGAGATCCACAAGGATGATCCCAACAAACAATCTAAGCAATAGTGGAAAGGCTACCTTAAATTCATTTCCCCTATAATGGTATTGATGACTAACTTATATGCCATCCTAGAGCCTTCATCCAGTAGCTGATAGAAGCAGAAGCAGACACCCACAGCTAAACACTGAGCTGAACTCCTGGGATCCAGTTGCAGAGAGGGAGAAGTGATGAGCAAAGGGGTCAAAACCAGGCTGGTGAAACCCACAGAAACAGCTGACCCGAACAAGGGCTTGCTCATGAACCCCAGACTGATAGCTGGGAAACCAGTATAGAACTGATTCAGACTCCCTGAAAGTAGGTGTCAGTGAGGTGGCCTCAGCAATATATGGGGCCTCTGGTAGTGGATCAGAATTTATCCCTATTATATGCATGAACTTTGGGGGTCCATTCCATATAGCGGGTTACTCTCTCAGCCTAGACACACAGGGAGGGCCTAGGTACTGCTCCAAATGATATGTCAGATTTTGAAGATCCTTCATGGAAGGCCTCACCTTCCCTGGGAAGCAAAAAGGGGATGGGATGGGGATAGTGGGGGGCAGGAGAGGAGGGGAGGCAGTGGGTACTGGGATTGACATGCAAAACAAGCTTGTTTCTAATTTAAATAAAAAATAGAAAAAAGATAGGAGGTGGAGAACATGGGCATCCTTGTTGCTGATATTATTGAGAATACCTTGAGTGTGTCTCTATTTAGTATGATTTTGGTTATAGGTTTGTCATGGACAGCCTTTATTTTATTGAGATATGATACTTGAATCCTAGCCAACTCTTCATGAATTTAATCATAAAGATATGCTGTGGCTTCTCAAAGATGTATTCTACCTCTATTGTGTTTTCTTTTTTCTGTTTTTTTTTTTTTTGAGACAGTGTTTCTCTGTATCCTTGACTGTTCTGTGTAACAATAAATCTTTCTGCCAGCCGCCTGAGTTCTGCCTGCCACCACATGGATGCCCAAAATAACACAGAGAGAGAGACTTATATTAATTACAAAGCTGCTGGCCCATGACTAGAATTTCTTACTGCTATCAGTCTTAATTATCAACCATAATTACTAAGGTATATATTTTATAAAGACTTATCTGATCGAGGACGTCCTTTCTTGTTGGGCTCACATGGAAGCTCCAGAGAGAAGAGAGGAGGAGGAGGAGGAAGAGAGCGATTTCCTGCTTGTCCCTGCTTCTATTCTGAGTCTGCCTGCTGTGTCATTTCCTTCATGGAACACAAGACTTCTCTTTACTACATTTCCCAGAATCCTCCTTGACTCCTAGTCACACCTAACTTGCTTCCTTATCAGCCAAAAGTACTTTATTTATCAACCAATAAGATAAACATGTACACAGAAGGACCTCCCCCATCAGTTCTGGAACTTGCTCTGTGGACAAGCCTGGCCACAAAATTAGATATCTTCCTGACTCTGCCTCCCAAGTGCTGGGAATAAAGGAGTGTATCATTACTGCTCTGGCTTCTGCTTCTATTGTAATGTTTGCAGGTTTTCTGCCTGTCAATCTATTTATGTTAGGAATTACATTTGTTTATGTGTCTGTAATTCAGCAGTACTGCCTCAGTGGAATAAAGGTAACTTAATCATGCTGAAAGACCTTTCTGATGTGATGTTGAATTTAGATCACAAGTATATTTTTTGAGAATTTTGACATAGTTGTATCTTTGTTCATTAGGAGAATTGGTGAGTGTGTGTGTGTGTGTGTGTGTGTGTGTGTGTGTGTGTGTTGTCTTTACCTGGTTTTAGTATCAGCAAAGTACTGATTTCCAACAAAAATTTGACAGCATTCCATCTTTTCCTACTTTGTGGGATAAGTTGAGCTTTATTTATGTTTTGAGATTCTAGTAGAATTCTGTGGTTCTGGGCTTTATTTAGTTGGGAAACCTCTGATTACTGCTTCAATCTCGTTGCTATTTATAGATATATTTGGATTATTGATTTGGTCCCAGTTCAAATTTGATATGTCACATACATCTAGAAATGTATTAATTTCTTTGTAAATTTCTGAAGTAGTTGATTTTCTGAATTTCATTGTTTCTATTTCAATAACTTCCTTTTCATCATGATTTTTATTTTTATTTTTATTTTTATTTGAATTAGAAAAAAGATAGTTTTACATGTCAAACCCAGTTCCCACTCTCACCCCTCCTCCCCTACCCCCCCAACTAATACCCAACATATCACATATCCTTTCTGCTTCCCAGGGAGGGTGAGGACTTCCATAGGGGTTCACAAGAGTCTATCATTTACTTTGGGATAGGGCCTAGGCCCATCCTCGTGTGTCTTGGCTCAGGGAGTATACCTCTATGTTGATTGGGTTCCCAAATTCCACACCTATGCTAGGGATAAGTACTGAACTATTACAGGAGGTCCTGTAGATTTCTGAGGTCTCCTCACTGAAATAAACATTCTTGGCATCTGGATCATTCCCATACTGGCATCCCAGCTATCAGTCTGGGGACCTGGATCCTTTGCCCATCACTCATTCTTCTCTGCAACTGCATTCCAGTTCAGTTCAGTTCCATCAGCTTATGGATGAAGGCCATGGGATGGCATATAAGACAAAAATCAATACCATTATCAGGGGAGGGCATTTAAGGTAGCCTCACCTCTGTTGCTTAGATTGTTAGATGGTGTCATCTTTGTAGATCTCCAGACCTTTCCCTAGTGCCTGATATCTCTGTAAACCTAAAATGTTTCCCTCTATTATGGTATCTTATTTCTTGATTTCTTCTATTCTTCCCCATACTCAACCTTTCTGCTCTCTCATGTCCTCCTCACAACTCCTCTTCTCCCCTTCTCAATCTCACAGTGCCCTACTCCCTCCTCCCATGGTCCCAAATTGCTCAGGAGATCATGTCCTTTTCCCCTTCTCCAGGGGATTATGTATGTCACTCTTAGGGTCCTCCTTGTCCTAGCTTCTCTGGCAGTGTGGATTGTAGGCTTGTATTCCTTTACTCTGTCAAAAATTCATA